TGAAAAGAAAAACTATTGAACATTTATTTTAAATCTAATGTTTTTACTTTTAATCTATTTTCTAAAAATAAAACTAAGGCCTGAAGGATAATCTTTAAATCATTTCAGGCATTCAGTTTGCAATTTCTCTCCAAAATATATCAAAAGGAGAAAAACATGCTTCATTCTATCATAATCACAGGCAGAGGAACTATCATTATTATCAGAATACAAATAAATATCTAACAATTTCCCTTTAAGACACACATTATCATAAATATGCTTATCAATAAAAGATCTATGTTATTCTTTATTAACTCCCAATTTAGAAGAAAACAATTGGTTTATACTTTATTTAGTTACAAAAAAAGTATTATTTTTAATTTGGTGATTTGCTAATATCACCCACACTAGTATATTTTAGTAAATGCAAATTACACAGCTAATAGAATAAAGTAGCCATTTAGAACAACAGTTTATGGGAAAACATAGCTATATCATTCTAAAATATGTTTTATTTGTGGAAAATTCAGAAGTACACCAGAGACGAGAGTATTTTTTGATACTACTATTATATGCTTGATATGTTTTAAAGGAATAGGAAAGCATCTATCCAGTAATATCCCCCAAAAGTAAATGTGCCTTCCCTTTGTATTTGAGGATGGAGAGGTAGTGAGTTGGCTTTCTAGAAGATGATCCCTTTATTATGGTGGTATTTTATTTGTACTGAAATGTGATTTTAATTGTATGTTAATAAATAAAGTTGCCCGGGGGTCAGAGCTATTAGCAAGCCATGGGAAAGCAGGGCGGTGGTGGTGTATGCTTATAATCCCAGCACTTGGTACACAGAGCTAGGTAAGTCTCTGTGTGTTCAGGGATACAGCCATCATTGGAGATACACGCCTTTAATCTCAATACCATAGAAGACCTGGAGGGCTTTACATACAGGCAGTGACGGGACAGTCATGTGGTTGGGTTTACAACCAATGAGAAGGCAGAACATAAAGACTTTATCAAGACAAACACACAGGAAGTAGGTCTCTTTCGGAGAGATAGGACCACCACAGGAGGAATGGTAAGGTTTTAGCTCTGAGCTCTGACCTCTTGGCTTTCTCTTTTACATTGGTTCTGTGTTTCTTATTTAATAAGACGGTTGGTTACATCTACACTTTATTCTTAAGCTTGCCATTTGTTAAGTACTTTATACTTTAGGTTGAATAACCAGAGGCCTCCATCATAAAGTAAAATTTTTGCCAGGTGTAAAAGCACACACCCTGAACCTTTAACCCCAGTACTCAGAAGCAAAGGCAGGTAGATCTCAAGTTCATGGACAGCTTGGTCTACATAGTGAGCTCTAGGACTGTCAGGCCTACATAAAAGACCAGAAAGACAGACAGCAGATAGAAAGACAGACACACAGATATTCAGATAGATAGATATGATAGTTAAGAAGTAAACCTGGGCTGTGGGGAGATGGCTCAGTGGATAAAGCCCTTGCTAATCTGAGGTCAGCACATCAGAAATCACATACAGATGGACACAATGGCACATCTCTAACCCCAGTGATCCTACATCAAGTTGGAAGGTAGACAAGGAAGACTCCCTGGAAGCTCATAGGCTGGTCAGCCTGTCAAACGTGAGGGTGAACGAGGAGAAACCCCATCTCAAACAAGGTGAAAAGCAAGGATTGACAGGCAAAGATATTCTCTGACCTCCACAAATGTGCTGTGATCCATACAGACCAACAGACAGGTAGATATACAAAGAGAAAAAACACACACACACACACACACACACACACACACACACACACACACATCCTCCATGTGTGCAAAGCAAACCCATCACAAAGTTATTTAAAAGGGAAAACAAGAATTTAGATTCTTTCTACCATCTACTCTTAATCTCTACACTAGAAATTACTATGAATACATTATAAAGAAAGAAAGAACTGGATTTGAATGACGGTAACATGACTTTTCACTTCTTGATGAAAACTAAGCTGTAAAAACTATGTCAAGAAACTTATTTCAATATATATAGAACATCAAAAACTTAGCAATGCTAATAACTGTAACAAAATATACATTTACTGCATACCTCTTGTAACAGTTTCCTAAAAGTCTATTCAAGTATAAGTGGCCATCTGCACCATGGCAAAAGTCCTCAAGAATTGCATCAAACCCCTGATTAATACATCTGTTAACAGACCATGTTGCTGCAAGCCCCATCCACTGTACCAATAATCACTTATCAGCAAACAAGGCAAACAAGTCATAATTTAAAATTTAATCAACTCTAAAAATGCTAAGGGAAGTATCATTTGTAAGAGCCAAAAGATACCAGACAAGAAGCAACTGATAAATAAAAGGTGGCATAACAGTACAATAGAAACACTAAGTGTCATTTTTTTAAATAAAATAGTGATACATATTCCAACATGGAAGAACCTTGACTATTTGGCAGATAAAGGAATCTAGTCATGTGGTAGGCATAGTGGCAAAAGGCTGTAACCCCAGCATTTGGAAGGGCATTTGGGAGGCAGAGGCAGATGGAGCTCACTGAGTTTGAGGCCAGCTTGTTCTATATAGTGAGTCCCAGGACAATCAGAGACAGAGCTAGAGACCTTGTTGTGAAATATTATTTTAAGATGTGTTTGTTACATATGTTTATGCATGGAACATGTGGTTTAGTAATGCAAAGATGTATTGCATTCTTTTATGTTTCATTTGTTTAACTCTGTGAAGCTGTGTTACTATGCCTGTCTAAAACACTTGATTGGTCTAATAAAGAGCTGAATGGCCAATAATAAGGCAGGAGAAAGGATAGGAGGGGCTGGCAGACACAGAGAATAAATAGAAGGAGAAATACAGAAGAAGAAGGAGGAGGAGGAGGAGGAGGAGGAGGAGGAGGAGGAGGAGGAGGAAAGAACAAGAGAACAAGGAGAGGAGGACATCAGGGACCAGCCACCCAGCTACACAGCCAATCATGGAGTAAGAGTGAAAGAATACAAAAGTAAGAAAAGGAAAAAGTCCATAGGAAAAAGTAGATGTGATCATTTAAAGCTAAGAAAAGCTAGCATGAACAAGCCAAACTAAGGCTGGGCATTTGTAATTAAGAATATGCCTCCGTGTGTGATTTACTTGGCAGCTGGGTGGTGGGCCCCAATAGCAAAGGGCCCCTAAAGTGTAAAGAGTAAAAACAAACAAAAAAAAAAAAAGCCAACAACACCCTGTCTTGAAAACAACAACTTCCTCCCAAAAAAAATCTATTCATATAGAGCCAGGTAGTATATGCTGTGTATGTGTAATGTCTGGCATACATAAATCTGCCTAGACACAAAGGAAGGGAAATGCCCTATATCGAAAGAGAATGACAAAATTAAGGGGTTATAGCAAAACAAGGATTTTCTTTAGGAGCACTGAAAAGAATCAAAACTTGGTACAGCTAGAGATATACATCTCAACATAGCAATGACCCAACCTACAAAAAATTCCAATATAGGTAAATTGCATGATATATAGACTTTACACAAATTAAACTTTTTTAAAAATTACCTGAAAACTATTCAAATTTTAATACATGCAATTTTTGAAATGCATTAAAGTCTTAAACTTTAGATGGAAAGAAAATGTAGAATCAGATCATGTAGAAAGAGACATTGAAATTGGCTCCAGATGATGAAGGAGCAATGAGACCAAGGGGCAGGCAATGAGCAAAAGAACAGATAAGAAGGAAAAGGAGAGACAGAAAGGAAGAGGCAGGACAGGAGGCGGAAGAGGCAGGACAGGAGGCAGGAGCATGGAAAAAGAGTAAAGCAAGGAGACAGGAATGAAAGTAGAACAAGCCTGGTCTGTGAGCTAGCACAACTCTCCAGAATGCTGGTGAGCCCCAACTCCCCACCCTAGACCAGACAAGAGCTACGGTCCTGGCAGCAGGAACCAGCAATAGGGACCATTTATCCTGATCTGCAACCCTGCTATGGCCAAAAGCAATAAACCCAGCAAAAGGGCCACTCCTAGCATGGCATGGGCCATTATAGAACAAGTTCATTAGTTTCACAGTTCAAATATCGTTTTTCTTGAAATACCATGTATAAATTTTAATTTTAACTTGATGTTTCTAAGTTTTAAGATTCTGGTTTTCTATTCCTTTCATGCTTAGAAACAAATCAACAAGAGCTATACTGCATAGAGGCCTTTTTTAAATATCCATTAAGATTTTACATATAAACACTGGTTTATACTATTTAAGGCACATTTCTTTCACGTCATTCAGCACACAGGTATCTAAACAGTGCAGTGTTATATCATTCAAGAATCCTTTTAAATTTCCCAAAAGTAAAATCCTAGCCAGGCCCACTGAAGCTTTCAGTCTGGAATGGAGAATTGGATGTGACCATATCTTTAAGGCTAAGCTGGATGGTGGCACAGCTACGATTCCAGCAGGCAGGAGAATTGTCACCAAGTTCATGGCCTATCAGGGCTACATAGAAAAATGATCATAACAATAATAACATTGTTTTTTCCTTCTTTTTAACAACAATTAAATAAGTAATATTGTGTTTGCATAGGGAAATGGTAAAATCTAACTACAACTGTAAGAAGGCAAAGACTTTCAAGAATGATCTATTTCCTTGTGCCTTGCTATTATTCACAGAAACTCCCAATTTCAGGCAAAATCTACAAAAAACGACAAGTCATAATTCACATAACTGAGAAACTGTATTAAATTAGAATTAATAACTAAACAATCACAGAACTATTATGACTTGGTTTGTAGAAAAAAATCTGTAAGTTTATAGTTGGATAATCAACCTAAGGAAGGACTCAAGGGTATTCACCAAGTCGTCTGTAAGATGTTATAAGAATACAAACCAGAATCCTATACGTGCATTAAACATAAAAACTAAAAGGGCATTCGTAGTTCTATAATGTTTACATAAAAGTCAACCACAAACAGTTCCAAACAATACACATGATATGTCACTCAGAACTAGATATTTAAAACATGACACATACTTGCAGTTGCACTGAATTATGCCGAAGGCCTTCGACAATGGAAGAAAATCTGTCAATTTTTCTTTCTTCTCCAGCTGAAGTCAAGGCTTCTAAAACGTCTTCAAGGCTATCAGAAATTTGGAGTCTATTAATTAAATAGCGAGGATCAAGTAACAAAAATGGCATGCAATCACTTTACCCTGCTAATTAATTAAATGTGCCCAAGCAACAGTGGCATTTAGAAGTAGCTTACTGAGTTCATACCATTATGTTAAGTGCATACTAACTGTACAAATTAGTGAGATTCACTGTGACACTTCCATGCCTACATGTCATGGATTTATCAAATCCACCTTCCCTACAAATCCCTTGCCCCACCTGTCCCTCTCTTCAGGTTTTTAACACCTTGCTAACTTCACAATCTTCTACTGTTACGTTAGCCCCTTTTCCCCCACTGGTATCCACTTGAGGGAAGCAGAGCATCTGTCTTTCTGTCTGCTCTAGCATGTATTTTGATTTATTTATTTCTGGCCAATACCTTGCAAAGGTGTTCATCAAGCACAAGTCAGGGCTAATTTGAACCATTTTTACCAATACAGGCTCACACTGGATTTTATTTTTACTGTTTTACTGATACATAAAATACATACATACAGGATGATGTGACATCTCAATACATGCTGGTGCTGTGTAGTATAAAATCAGAAAAAGTACATATGCCTCCCCAAACAACTCATTCTGTCATGATAACAGCATTTAAACACATTTTTCCATAAAAACATACATTGTCATTTTCTAAAATCAAGATACCATGGATTTTAAAACATGTAACCATATGCAGTGTGTATATTATAAGCCAATAAATAGGAAATCGGGCAGAAAAGGGTTCAACAACTTGTTCACAGACTAACATCTACTTCTCCAAAGTGGTGATGCTTGGACGTAAAATCTGGCAGCCTGTGGAGGCTAAGTATCTAAAATGCTCTCAGCCAACACATAATGTCCCTCAAATAATGAAATTGTGACCGTCAAAAATAAATAGTAGCAAAATATAGTAAATAAATCTAAAAAACAGTATTTATAAAAAGATCATCTTCCCTTTTTAAAAAAAAAAGTATAAATTCATCATCTGTGAATAAAAATTGCAGCCCTAAACATTATTTAATCACTCTGACATTTATTCCAACGTCAAGAAACAATAAAAATTAAAGAGAAGGCTAAGAATCAAGCTCAGTGGGGGAGGGGGGCAGCCCAGCATGTGTGAGGCCCTAATTCTGACTCCCAGCACTGAGAGATGGAGGAGGAAAACAATGTATGAGAAAGAAGATAAAGGAAGAGAAAGGGGGAAGCAAACAGAAAAGGGGGAATAGAGGAAAGAAGGACAAAGGAAAAGGAAGAACAAAATGAGAGTTTAAGAAGAAGAAGAGTAGAGAGAAACAGAATGAGGAGGAAATAAGAGGAAGGAGGAACTGAGAGAATAGATAGCAAAGAATAAAAGGAAGACAAGAGCGAGGGGTCAGAGTCACACATCAACATACATGCATACAGGGCACATACCAACTCTTAGGAAACACCAAATCTACACAATCTCTCTAGATGGAGAATGTACTGAAACTGGATGCCTGGCCTTTTCCATGCCTGGGACAGGTGAGCGAAATGACGACTATAAACACTCAGGACATGCGCATAAAGGACAGGCTTAGAGTGTTGTCTAACTGGCCAACTACAGCCACAGAGTCAGCTCAGTAACACCTTCTCTGGGAGGATTGCCCCAAGGCTGGCTGTCACATGAATGCAGAAAGGACTCGGGCTAAGTTCACAATGAAACATACATCAGGAGCCCTGGGGATTGCAGGCTGAGAAATGCACAGCTTCTACTGTCAGGGAGGAGTTCGTCTCCTAAGAAGAACTTTCTGGCAGCTCTGACCCACAGAAGAATCTAAGCTTGTTTTTCTTCTGCACACATCTTGCTCCACACTCCAACTCTTCCTCTATTTAAGCATAAAGTCAATGTCCAGTACCGTAAATTAGCTACACATGAGATTGATCACTGGACACTGTGGCCAGTATACACCTCGATGAACTCTCTTCCCTCTGATTTTCACCATCAATCATCTCTTTACATGGATTAGTGGAAGCAGGGACAAGCCTAGGCCTTTGGAGATCATAGAGCCAGGGTGTTTCAGTTCTCTGGCAACCATGAGCACTGTCTGTTCTTTTGATTGTTCAGGTTTTACCCATTTTTTAAAAGCATCTTAAAGCTTACGTATAATTAGAATCCTATTCTTCCTTAAGGTGGAGGGTGTGTATAAGTTATCATTAGGAGACATGCTAAATAGTTGATTAGGTACAACCTTAATAAATGTAGCCAAGTGCCTTGGAAGCTTTAATGTGTTTTAATACTATAACCTATTCAACTCATCACATCTGTCTTACATATAAATTGTCAAAAAGCAATATACTTGTTTTTAGAAGAGATAAGCATGACTCACAATTTCAATTAATTACATTTATATATATTATAATAATTAGATAATAAAAGAACCATTTGCATATTTGCACCCTCTACTTTGAATTTTTAATAAGGGTTGAGCTTAATGCAATTTAAAATAAACATGATGAGGAAATCAGTTGTTCATAGAATTATTTTAGTCCCTAATTCATAATTTGATTAACAAAACGATTGGACGAATATATCACTTATGCAAGTAAGAAGCTGAACTGATGGCCCAAACGTATATGAACATGGAAGCTGCGAGCTCTGGCCATCACTAGATGCAGCAGCCACAGTGGACACTTACATGCTTTCCTCCCCTACAATGCACACTGCAGAAAGCAGCTTCACCACATCTGCCATCATACCCGGCTGCTTGGGATCCATGGCTTTCGCCAACAAGGAAAGACTCCTCTCTTCACTCATGATTCTTTCTAAGCCATACTGTAACATTAGAAAATAAGTTAAATGTTAGGAGTGATTTGGAAATATGGTGCATAAATTTTAAAAATTACATTTTTACCTCTAAGAAAGACAAAGTATGAAGACCTTGTAACACCATAAAAATTTCCCAAGTATTTGCTATGAGATTCTACCAAATGCAAAGAACCAATGGGGAAATGAAGGATTCTCAACATTAATATACAAAACAAACAGACAATATTAAAATAGTCACAGAGGACAGGACTATCTCTGTGCTGAGAAAGAAAGTTGGTAAAAGAGCTATAGGCAAACACACAGATCAGCATTGTTAGAGATAAAGATAAGATAAACCAAAGTAGGAATAATTTTGTGTCATCTTCATGAAACAAATGGAAGTATTTTAACTACAAGTAACCAGTGTATTAAACTATTATTATTGCAGCATGTAAACAATGTAGAACACTTTATTTTTCTGAAAATTGAAAATCAAGGTGCATTCTATAATTACATGACATCTGAATTCAGACTAGACACATTTCAAGTATTCAAAAACCAAGTGGCTAGCACAAGACAGTACAAATCTAGATCTGAAGAGTATATAAATGCACAAAGGTAAAGAACAATCTGGAAAGGAACTGTGCAAAAACTTCCATAATAGAAATATGTATTCTGAGCCCAATGGTATTTCTCCTCAGGAAGTCAATACTGTTGGAAATAAACACATACATAATGATTTGGGGAAGGATAAAGTTTATTTGCTATAGCCACAATGTCACATCCAATTAGAGGAGAAGTAATTATATTAAAGGCATATTATTTTAAGGAAGTCTATATCTCTTGGCATACCAATAATCTGCATCAGTATAAAAATACATACAATAGAAGACAGCAAATAATATTTCTACCTCCCGTGTAATTCAGAAGATCTTTCTAAGTAGTATAAAACTTGTGGATCAAGTCACTACCATAAATGAATGCAGGAGCATTAATACCAATTACGTAGCTATCAATTATGGCTGGAAATTGACAAATAAATGTAAGTATCAAAGTCAAAACTCTGACAAGCTTAAACACAAATGCTTTATTATAAAATTGCTATCTTTAAGTTTATTATCACACATATAAGGATTTATATAAAAAGAGAAAGAAGCTAGCAAGCCAGACATTATGCTGAAATGGTGCATTTCCTGGAAAACACCATGGTGAAGAGGAAGGATTGAGGAAGTGCAAGCAGAGGAGCCAAGATGACAGAAATGGGAGTGGTCCAGGTTCTTTCTCCTTACTAACGGGAGAAGATTTACCGACAATTAAACTGGTCAGAACTAAAGGCTCATTTTTCTGATGTTCTGAACTATTTCATAACTACAAGCCGAGACTTCAAAAGCTGACATAGAGCTAAAAGCCCACACTATCTATGCCTTGGTAGTATTGCAGAAAATTGTCAGTAATATAGAAAGCACCATTTGGACCTGACTCAGACAGTCAGAGATCAGCAAGGACCAACAGCAAGCTCTGTCCTAACAGACTTGCTGGCTGATGAAAGCTTGTCTCCAGTGCCTGCCTTCCACATTCATAACCATGTGCGTTCCCAGGCTCAAAACAATCTGGGATGTACTGCATGCAGCCAGACTGCCTACCTTTCCCATCCAACCTCCTGATACTAATAACTGTTTGGGAAAGCTGGACTATGAGCACACTCTGATCTCATGCTTTGACCACCAGCCTGTGACACCAAAGGCATTTCCTCTAATGTAAAGGAAAAAGAAAAAAAACTAGAGGACTAGAATGAGGCCAGATTACCACTTTTCCATAACTATTACTAAACAGGGAACTGCTATATACTTCAATAAAATTATGTATGCAAAGACTTAGAAAAAAAAGAAAGAAAATGACTGTGAGAAATAGTTCACTTACCAGTGCCAGCATCAAAGTGCTTTTAATGAAGGCTTTTACAAGTGAGAGAAATATCACCAATTTGGGAAGGTCTAAAAAATATCTTTCCTGAATGTCAGGACCCACTTGGGAGAATATGATAACTGGCCTGTTCTTTACCCAGGACCAATGCTATGTTCTATATGCATTCCACAGGTCTATTGTTACCTAACAGAATTCCAGGCTGCTAAAGATAATATGTTTAGGGAAATACTCCCATCCCTGAGAAGCCAACTAACATCAATACTCTATGACTACCTGGGATAAGCAATGATTAATGGTGAATGTACCCCAATAGTGGGGCGAATATGAGTGATGAAATGGCTTTAACAGCAAGATTCCCGTGTCAATGGGCACACACTCAATCCCTAAACCCCTTACAAAAATGAAGTCTTCCTTTGATTGCCTCTATATTTTAAAAGATCCATTTAAAAATTACTTTTTATTTATATTTTTAATTTCGTATATGTGTTTTGCCTGCACATGTGTTGCTGTACCACTTTCAAGCCTGAGTTCTCAGAGTCTAGAAGAGAGAGTCAGATCCCCTGGAACTAGAGCTATGGATGTTATGAGTCATTATGGGGGTGCTGTGAATTGAACCTGGGTACTCTGGAAGAATAGCTAATACTCTTCACAACTGAGCCAACTCTCCAGCCCTTAAAAAAAAAAAAAAAAAAAAAAAAAAAAAAAAAAAAACTTCTATCTCCATTAAATGTATTAATTCTTTTTCATATGATGCCACAGCCGTTCGTATTAATAACATAATTACTTGCTGGTAGCAAATGAAAAGGCTGTATTTTCATCATCCAGTGGAATCCAGTGAAGATTTCACAGAGATGATGACAAAGTACACGTCTTATAGCTGATTAAATGAAGCTTAAGAAAACTAACAACAACCTTGGGTTGGTAACCTGACCAATCTTTTGGATAATAGAGTCTAGATATTAAAATATTAATCCCAAGTGTCAGCAACTAAATTTTGTGCCTTTACTAACCTATATGCCACTATCAAATTGAAAGGAAGTATTTTATGGCTCTACATAAACCAACTATGAGAAATAAAGTCTACTACGAAATAACAGATTGCATAAGAATACAAATTTATAAATGTTACCCTCAAACTCTGACTAAAACCAAGTAGAGAATGTAATTTTGTAAACGCTACCTGATTTGAACCATCAGTCTTCTCAATTTAAATTTGGTCACATACATCCCTTGATTTGAAAGAGGCACACGCGCATTTCCTTCCTGTCAGCTTCATACCACCAGGAAAATTCTGCCACTACAGCCTCCCTTTACAAGGGCCTCTGGAAAGGAGCTCACCCTGCATGTTGGGAAGGGCTCGCTCCATGGAGTTTCCCATTCTTTCAGTGCCTACTCTTAAAGAACATACAGATAGCCTACCTCTCATAACAAAGCATAATTCTCCAAAAAAAGAGCTGTGGGTCTACTCTTCAGGCAGTCTCCTTGGAAAGTATCAGAGTGGGCAGAAAGTAAACAATATTCTGTGCATTAAAAAATAGGCTGTCAAGAAGGCTGAGCAGGTAGAGATACCTGTCCCCAAACCCGAGGACCTGGGCTCAGTCCCTGAAACCCAAATGGTAAAGAAGGAGAACTAATTTCCACAGGCTGTCTTCTGACCCCCACACTAACACTGTGGTCAAGTTCAAGTTCATGGAAACACATAAACACAACATAAACAGAAATTTAAAATAAGTAAACAGAAAACTCAACAGAATGCGTTCACATAAGACAGAAATAATTAGAAAACACAGTTGCTATAATAAAATTAAATACTAATAATTTAAGCCTTTATATATTTAAACCTTTGAATGGTTATTTTTAAAGAAAAATGCAAAATATGCTACATTAAAAATAGCCAAACATGTATAGGTTTTCTATGTAACAGTCATCACACATCACACCGCCATAGGTAGCCTTTGTTGCCCTGATGTCTAACGACTGACATACTTATCCTTACATCACACATCATGAGGTAGTTGAGTTTACACTCAGAGCTAAAGAAATGACAGGAAATGATGCTAATATCAGCAATCACCAAAATGGGGCTGACCGGGAAGTGATGGCCTAGAGTCTTCTGTTTAATTCAACTGTACTACACGAATGCTTTACACTACACACCTTTACTCCACCAATGTGTCATATTATGCTGGCTCAACAATAAATATATCACTGCTGCATTACTAAAATCTCACGTTTTTATATATTAATTTTATCATAGCTTTTAAATTCTCAGGATATGAAACATGGGTCTTCACAACTTGAATCTCTGGTAACATATATTACGGCAGACTATTGTTATTAATAGTGTAGTATATTAAAGCCTAGATCCGGCTGACTGAAAAAAATCAAAAGAAGGAGAGAAGCAAAAGAAGGATGAAGGTGGAGAGAACAGGAGAGGAAGTTCGTTCCTCTGCAGACGGGGTGGGAGAGTGTGGGGGGGGGGTGAGGGGGGTGTTTCTGTTTCAGTGGTGAGCGCGTTCACCTCCCAGCTTCTCCTAAGATCCCTGCTCCATGAGCATTGGAAGCAAACCCCTTGTCATCACATGGCATGCAAGTAGAATTCTCCACAGTGAAGCTCTAATTCATGTAAGAATCTGTGGTGAGCAAATAGCAACTTCCCCTGCATACCTGTGTGTTCATCAGGGCTTTCAGACACTGAATGACTTTGTGCTGATTCTTCTTTACAACTCTTTCTTGCCTGTATTAAACATAAAATAAAACAATATTGGATTACAGTTGGAAATTCTAACAGAGCTTAATTAAAAGTAATTAACAATACTTACATTTGCCCATTAATCAGTTTTTCCAAAATGTCCAGTAATAATCCTAGTCCCTCATGGCCAAAGCTTTGCACCCAACTGAAAAACAAAACAAAGGTAAGATGCATGTTAAGTTGGTAATTTAGTGAAAAAAGAAATGCTATATGTCTATAACTATTTTAAAATTTTTAGAGTCATGATCATGACTACAATATAAGCATAACACTAGATACAAAACTGTTCATGGTTCATATACCTTGACTGTAAGAGCTGAGGAATGATAATGGTATAGACGGCATAGGCCACCATGGTTCACTCTGGCTTCTGAGAGCTGAGCGAGTCTCTGCCGTGTTCCATGTTCAGCATGTTGGGAACTAGGAGTCCTCCACGGACCCAAGTACGTATACCAATAACTTGGGGAAATTATCAAAGAGAGCTTCACTCAGTGCAGCCACTCACTACAGATTCACACCACTAGAGCAACCTCAGGCTAGGCTGTAGCAAACTCTGGGAACATCGGGGAATGGAGGGGGAAAACTACAGAGGAAGGAAAAGTAAAGGGAAAACCAGAGGGTGGATGTGGACTGAGACTAAGAAAAAGATAAGGGGCAAAATTTATCAACACAATGGAGAGGGACATATTAGGAGAGCTTCTTAGACTACTAAAATGAAGCTCTGTAACTATTAGGAATATCCTAAGTTTCAAAGTTCAACTTCGTGAAAATTAAACATTTTTCATGTAAGTATTTCCACCATGACTGCATGTTACCTGACCCATGAATCAGTGATACAATCATGATGTTTATAGAATCAGGACATTATTGATACTAGACAACATACCATGTTGATTACAGAAAAATCACATTGAAATGAAGAGCACAAGTTATAATCTAGAAAAACAGGTCAACACACAATATAATGGTAACTCTGTCTCCCAAAAAAGGCAAAAAAAAAAAAAAAAGTAGGATTTCTTTGTGTATATTTCTTTATGTGCCACCTTTCCTGTTTGGTTTGCCATGTGTATGAAAAGTAAAGGCTAAAAACAGACTTTTATCAAATAATCAAAAATAGGCACCATGGAGCATAAAAACAAGTCACATGCAAGTAAATATTGTCACTTTCTCAAATAGGCTACAAAGCAACTTCTCCAATGAAAACAAGCAAAAGCTAGAGTGACCACAGCATAGTATTACCCTAAAAACAGAAAGGCAACTGACAGGAAAATTGTATAAAGCCTAGAGGTGACCCTTTACTTCCACAACTGACTAGGAATAGACTCACGTGTTTGAATGCTTGGCCCATAGAGGGTGGCTCTATTAGGAAGAAGTTTGTCACTGTGGGGGTGGGCTTTGAGGTCTCATATGCTTAAACTACGCCTAGGATGGGACACAGTCTCCTCTGCTGCTTCCGATTAAGATGTAGACTCTCAGCTCCTTCCCCAGCACTATGTCTGCCTGCATGCTGCCATGTTATCACCATGCTGATAATGGACTAAACTTCTGACAGAAGCTTTAAGCCAGCACCAATTAAATGTTTTCCTGTATAAGAGATGCCATGGTCATGGTGTTTCTTCACAGCAATGAAACCCTAATTAAGACAGAAGTCAAGAGATTTTGCACAACCGTCCTAAGCACATGGTGGGGAAAAAAGTCTTCCCACAAATGCAGCTGGGAACCCTGACATCCATGTGCAGAATGAAGCCAGATCTTTATCTCTAATTAGTTGCAAAAGTTGACTATAAATCATTTAAAGACTTATATGTAGGAGCTGAAACTCTAAGTGACTGTGATACAAGAAATAAGAAGCACTTGAGGACGCTGGAACAGCAAGACTTGTTTGTAATAGGTTCCCAAACGTACAGGAAACAAAAGCAGGAGTAACCAAATAGGATGTCATCAAACCAAAAAGCATCTAGACCACAGCAAAGGAGACAAGCAGCAGAGCAAAGAGACGGTCAACCCACTGAGACAAAGTATTGGCGAGTAAGATGTTACACCAGAGGCTAAGACCCACACATAGAAAGGGCTCCCAAAACTCAACTGCAAAAAACAACAATAACCCGATTACAAACGTAAATGATACTTCTTAAAAGAAAACGAAGAAATAGCCAACAAGTAAATGAAACATGTTAGCATGATTAACAGCCGGGGGAAAAACAAGAAGAAACTAAAGTAAGGTATAGAGCCATTCCAGTAAGAACAACTCCTGACAGACACAACAAACACCATCTGTTAAGGATATGGGCTAAAGGGAAGGCTTGCACACAGCTGGCAGCAATGTGCATAAGTACAGCCACTGCAGGAAACAGCAGGAGGCCTCTTCACCATTTAATAAACTACAGTATGAACAATCAATTATGAACCATCAATTACAATATTAGAATATTCTCCAAAGGAAATAAAGTTGACCAGTCAGAGACATTTGCACTCCCGAGTTTACTGCAGCACTGTTCACAACTACCAGGATACAGAAGCAACTAAGTGCCCAGAATCTGATTCCTAGATGAGGAAAGGTGGTGGACAGACACAGCAGAACATTAACCAGGCATGAAAAGTGAAATCTTGGTATTTGCAATAACATGGGTAGACCTGGAAATCCTTATATTAAGTGAAATGGGTCAGGCACAGAACGGTAGGCACTGAGGCATCTCATTTGTTAGTGGAATCTAGAAATGCTGATCACATTCAACCTAAGGCACTAGGGGTGGCTATCAGAGTGGAACAGTGGGAGGTAAGGACAGTTTGCTGAATGGGTACTGACAGAGAGGAACAAGAGCTTCTGGTGCCCTGGAGGGGGTATAGCTAACAACTATCTGCTACATGTCTCTAAAGTCAGAAGAGTTTTGAATACTGGTACCCAAAAGAAATGATTAATGTTTGGGGGACAGATATTCAACCTGACTAAATATCGCACAGTGTAGATAAGTATTAAAACTGCACAATACACCCCATTACACATAGAGTTTTCACGTTCCAACAACGTACGTTGTTTGAAATTCATCTTCTGCATTTCACACTGTGGTCACAGCCTCACCACCTGTAGTTTTCAGAATTTCTGACATCCCAAAAAGGCAAATGAATTTCTGCATTGCACATTTCTTTGCATTTATACAGGCAGTCTCCAGTCACCCTATCTGCCTCATCTCTTCTCTGTCCCGTGAAAGCCACGGAATACCTGCTTCAACAATGCCGGGAACAGCAAAGGCACTCCCCATCAAAGACCGAAGACCACTATTATGGCTGAGATGAGGGAAACAGCTAAATAAATGCCACTGCTTTCAAACGAAGCTGCTACTTCACAAGTGAAGAGTTGACTTTCTCCTATCAGCTACAGACAGATTACCCACAGGCATTTCAAATCTGGCTTTCATGTTTCATGAAAATACCTGCAGCATCTGCTTAGCTGTTTCCCTTGTTTACATCTTATTCTGTATTTATGCTTATTTCACAGGCACTGCAGAAGCTTGAAATCAAACACATAAAGAGTAATTTGTAAGCTTTACTTGACCGGTATTGGGATGTGGGGAGTCTCTCTGCTCATCGCAACCTCTTGTGTTAGTCTTTCCCAGTAGGCCTTCAGTATTTTATTTAAAGTGGATTTTCAACCATATCCATATTAAAAGGTATATCCATAAAGAGATTCTAAGGGTGATACAAATGATCTGAGATTATTTATACCATTTTTACCTTCAGTCCCTGACAAATAGTCACTATTCACAAAACTGCCTTAACCATAATATACAGAGTAACTTTAAATTATGTTAATGTCACAAAGACAGTTGCACGTAATGTGCTAATGGTGTGATGAAGGGTAGAATTTAGGAAGCATGAAAAACATATGCAAAACAAAGTTCCCAGATCTGAGTAATTAATAACAGAACATAACTATGTAAACTTTATCAACCCTAACATAACAATTATAACTAGAAAAAGGGACCCACAGTTCTCGAATCAACAACTTCTAGATATCCCAGATATGTCTTTTCTAGACTACATGGTTGTTAAATTTTTCAAGCACTCGTATATATTACATATAAACTAACAGTCCATGAAACAAAACTTTCTAGGGTGACAAGAGAATAAGCAAATCTCAAATCACACTATCTTAGAATCTTTTCATTATGGGAATTAATGTATGAGCAACAACAAAATCAAGGCAGACAAACTGTAAAGTGAGTAACTGAATACTGTAAGACGTAATACAGTAACATGTCAGCCTTACAGACGTCTAAGAAAGAAATTGCTTTGTCTTGTGTGTGGTTTCTTTTGTTGTTGTTGTCCTTATTTTTTGAAATATAATTACATCATTTTCCCTTTCCCGCTCCAACCCCTTCCCAATGTTATGTTTGTAGTTCTTTGAGGATTTCAAACAGTGGATTTTGATCATCACACCTCCCCCAAACTCCTGCCAGCTCCAGCCTCCCCTCCCAGCCTGTGCCCTCCTTCTCCTTTCATCCAGTCCAGTCTGTGCTGCCCGTCTAGTCTTTGGGGGAGAGTCATCCACTAGGGCAGAGCAAGCCAAGAACAGCGAAACATTGTATGCTTCTTTCCAAGCTGCCTTTTCAATGTGTAATTCTATCAGTTTTCTATTTTAGTCTAAGTATTGTTATGTGGTAAACATGTACCTAACAAAGCTATACTTTATACGTCATAAAGGATATTTTTTTAAAAAAATGGAATGGATACATGAAGGGACAGATAAAGGAGAAACAAACTGTTTAAACATTAAAAACTAAAGGAAGTATTATCAGAAAGGGCAAATAAAAATATACACAAAGTCAAACCTGGTGTAATGGCACATACTCCCAGCACTGTAGTCAGACTCTATCTCAAAAAATACAGTTCCCTTTGTGACATTTGCATAAGTATTTGTATCCACTGTTATAATACTTCTCCTTAGCAAACTCTAGGTCACATTACACTCCAATTCTAATTATTTTTCTCAGTCATTATTTGGGCCAGAAAAACCACATCTTGTATTCTGGAAGATAAAATGAGGTACTGTGTATAAAGCTCTGTAGTACTGGCAGAGGATAGTTGAAATCCACAAATTTCTACAAAAAGGGAAAGTTTTTCATCATTTGAGAAAAAAACCTGGAA